ATTGAGGTGGGTTTCAACAGTTGGTTTAGTATAACCATCATAATTTTTGTTGCAGTCTTCCTGCTGCTCTCGTTGAAGCAAACATCTAGTTCCGAAAACTAATTTTCTGTTTGGTATTATGAAAATAGGTTGACGTAGGCCTCCTCAGAAGTAGGATATCTTATGAAATAGTTTTGCATGAAATTTTTGAGTAGCAGAAGCAGAATCTGCATTAGAACAGGAAACAAACTACCTTTGAGCAGGTAAAAAACGTATACTATTTTGTAGATACTAATTGGAGTAGAGCTCTGCTTTGCTGAATATTATGTAACGTCATGTACAGCTGACCTACAGATGCCCTCAAATGGAAAGATTTCTGAGGTCATCAAGATAGAAATTTTACACCTTGACTATCCGACAACCCCAATATTTATCAATCAATAACAAACAGCATGACTGTCGTATAGTAGAGAATATTTTAGAAGCTAGCCCATATGTATGAATCCAGAGCCGCGCATTCCGACCCCGATGGATTCAAGTTACCTGAGAGCTTCTTCTGTCTGGTGGGCGAAGCTAGTACCTTGTAGCTATGAAAGTGCACATTTTGGCTTGGAAAGTAATCGAAGGCGAACCGTCACGTCTATCAGGTCCACACTAGATTGAGGAACATGTACCAGGGTCTGTCAATATTTAAACATATCACATTCCACAAAAAACGGTTCTGTAATCTTCACCTGTCACGCCGCAGACCTAATCAGGGTTTCGTTCTTTTGCAGAGTTCCACATCCGCCAGTTGACCTAAAAGATCACCTTCTAAATGAAGTTATCGGCTTCGTTGAAGAATTGGATTCATTTTGGTCCGGTTCGATTAGGTTTATGCTACAATAAACCCTCATGGGTTGCGGTAGAAGGGTGAATAGACCCACTCACTTTAAACCTACCTATCTACCTTGATTCATTTAAAAAAGCGATCCATCGCTGAGAAAATTTTTCTTTCTTAACAATTCTCCGTATATTTTTTGAATTCGTGTACATTTTGATAAATAATATAAATCAACAAACTAAGTATATGAGTATAAGATCAAAGTCATATTTTAGGATCAGTCGGTCTCAAGTTGACAATAGTTTCCGAAAGTTCCCACAGTTTTTTAGCTTTCGATGCATCTAATACACCGCTGCTAAGACCTCTCTCAGCACAATCCATAAAATATTTTCCCGAAACCTTCTCCAACTCTTCGGAACAAGCTGCGAACACGCTGGTTTGGGAGCCCTGGACAGGTTTTTTGAAGAAAACTGTGATAAAAATACAAATTGAATTAGAACATTAAGACATATAGTTTTATAATAATTGTAATAATTGTATATGATCATTATTATGATCTCAGTTTTCGTCAATTTGACACAAATAGTGATCCCACATACCTTGTATATTTCGTACAGATTTCAGTGAAAATTCTAATTAACATTGAGTGAAAACTGGTCAAAATTTGAAACTGAACTCGAAACTAAAAAGTTATTGGGAAAGAAAGGTTTTGCCTTTCTACTTATTCATTTTTATACAAAAAATTGTTGGAATCTTCCAATGTGAAATTTGAAACGTCATTGTTCTCAAAAACAAAAAGTGTTGCTAGGCAACACAAAGGCTAAGTTGATTTACTGAACAGAATGAAACAAAGTATGTAACCTTCTTCGTATCACTCACCTTTAACAACTAATTTTACAGGCCAAGTAAGTAAGGTGGGTGTATTTCTCCAGATCCCTGAATCAACCATGCCTGGATGTAGGCAGTTTGCTGTTACGTTTGTTCCTTCCAAACGGCGGGCAAGTTAAATCCCTTCAACATTTAGTATGGTTACTTAGGCCTGATCCAAAAATAAAAACAACTTGATTTTTGAACTTATTTGTACAAAATTTTGACTTTATCAAAAGTTGTCAAAGTGGCCACTTTAGGCCACTAGGTAGGGCAAAGTGGCCACTGCCTAAATGGATGTAGATAGTATGGAAAAAATAAAACGCATTTAGTTTCAGAACTCAAAACAATTGTATTAGGGTTTTAAACAAAAATACATTACTGAAAGTATGTGAAACTATGAAATCACTGGTATTTACATAAATCACAAATAAAGTCATCGTCCTCCTCTTCGGCTCCTGTGCAGGCTTCGTGAGCCCATTTGAGGCACCCAGAACATCTAATCCAGCCTTCGTTTTCCTTGGATTTCGAGTAACAATCACCACAGACTAAACAATCGACATCGCTGACGTTGCCTTCATCATCATTATAGAGACCGTCATTCTTTTTCTTAAACAATGCGCGTTTTTCTTTATTTTCAATTTCAGCCACCCTTTTCTTAGGAGCCTGCTGTTTCTTTTCGATTTCCCTTTCTCTTTTTGTTACTAGTCTACGTTGTTTCGCATTCTCTTCATCTTCTTTTTCTTTCCTAATTGCCATGAGAGTGGCCTTATATGGACTGGATGTTAAAACTGTTGCTGTTCCTTTCTTCCGCTTAGTTTCTCTTTTGATAATCATATTGACCTTGGGTACAGGAACAATTTCACGTGGACTTACAGCAAATGAAGTGGACTTCTTGTTTGGTGGACCGTTCAAATTTGAAGTTGTTTCTAGGGAACCAGCTGATGAAGTGCTGGGAATAGATGGATCAAATGTTGCAGAAGGAAGCCCACTGCTAGACCTGATTGGATGATCAACAGAAGGTAGGGATACCATTATAAAGGCGTTATTGGGGTTTTCAGAACCACCAATGAGTTCTGTTGAGCTACTGTTGTTGACAGTCTGTGATGAAGATACACAAATTTGTATGATGGTGTTCTCTTCTCCTGACGCAGGGTCTTCTTGTAGAGTTATTTCTGTTGTTTCAGCAGCTGCATAATCCAGTTCTGTAAACACATTTCTGTCGATTGGGACGATTCCACATTTTCTAAAGCCTTTTATGGTGATAACTGATGTAGCTGCCTTCAAAAACGCTTCACCATTGGCCACTATGCCCACCCTTCCCCTACCCGTTCTTGGGCTATGATGAAACATTTTCTTCAGCATTAGTCAAAATTTGATAACATTTACAAAAAAAAAACAAATTTTGAAAAAAGTGCAGTTACCTCTTTCATCCTTCAAGTATTTTTACACGAAACAGATCAGCTTTAATTGGAAAAGGGGGTATTCATACTGAAAGTTTCCAGATGAAGTTTATTATAAGATTAAAAAAAAAAACAAGAATAGTATGATCCATATTTGCAGGCACGTATCCATTTTAATCCGTCTCAAAATGGAACGGTTTCATTTAGTGCGTTTTTTATACCATTAACTAAATTTAACTTCGATGCTAAATCAAAAGCTATAAAATTTCCTAAGTGTTGACGCAAATCTGTGATGTCTTGATTGGCTTATTATAGTTTGATAATCGTCAGGTGAGTATATGTTTTCATGACGAGGTAAAACTTTTTCAATGCCCTCAAAATCGCGGTCTGAATCAAATTAATTGTAGTCCACTTCAGGAAATTTATGGTCAATAATTTTCGCTGTACCCTTAAATATTAGTTACTGGTATAAATATATCNTATTTCTATTGCTTTCTGCAGTATCAATTTATTTCTCGCAAACAAGGTAATCAGTATTAAAGAAAAGCGATTTTATTATCGAATCAAAATTTAAAGAAAACACACTTGCACTGTTTGACTTGTAAATACTGACCTGTTATTTTAGTGGATAAAGGAGACAAGTGTGAGTAAAGCCGATGGATAAAGGAGGTAACTACCAGTTTCAGTGAATAAAAGGGACAAGTTCGTTAGATACCTCTTTCATTCATAAACTTGTGTTAGAAAATATGCACATACCTCCTTTTTGACGTACACATTCTCTTTATTTTTTATATTTTTGCTGCAATGTTAAAGTTAAATGAGAAGTTATCACTTACCCGTTTTATCTATGGGGATAAGTCGATTTTTGACAAAAAGTTACTCACCTCCATTATCCACTCGACTCTTCAATTATATTGCTGCCAAACGTCAAACGAAATAGTTTGTTAAGAGATTTACTTTGATGCCTAAGATGAAGAAAATAACTTAGATTATGGTATATATAGGAACTTCTAAAGAAATAATGAAAAGATAATACCAAATAAATCTTTTCACGATACGAGTGATCATGCATATAAATTTCTTCCCGATCCGAATCAAACAATCTATCTGTAATAACTACTTTCGATTGATAACATCGATTTATATGAAAATAAAGTTTTTTCAATTGAATTTATCCAAAAAACATTAGCGAATAAATTTAAATAAACATCATTCATCGGCGCGCTACACACCAGCTCATCATCAGCACATTTTAAAAATATATCCGANTCGGAGGAATTAGTCCAGTCATCACCCGAAGACGATTGTGGATACTAACAATCGAAACGTCGTGAATTACCTTGGCTTGGAATCTCTTAACTTTTTTTATTTTTTAAAATTTGTGTTCAATTGTTCAATTTTTACTTGTATTTTATTTCACTTTTATCTCATTTCAGAGTTTTTTTGCTTAATATAATTGTTATTTTCTGCTATTATTTTTTAATTGTTTGTTTTATTAGTTCTTTCAGGGATTTCAAATCATTTTATATAATATCAGACAATGGAAGTCCGAACTAATGAAATTCATCATGAAACATAGTCGATCACCTTCAAACATCTTCCAAATACCTAACTCAAACATCGAATAAAATATACGGAATAATTGAAGTAAATACATATTACACCCATTTTTGTTGACCTTAATATAATGAACATACAGTGAATCGACAAATTCTTTAATGAATAATAGATGATGGAATTATTGACAACCTTCAGGATTCATTGCCTACTAGAAGAACAAGTAGTTATCGATAACCATTACCTAGAAGAGCAAAAAAATATTGCTGGGGTATTCATTATTCACTCAGTTTGAATTATATATTTCACCTAATGACTATTCTCATTGACAAATGAGAATATTAAGTTCTAACTGAATGATTTATCATTTTCATAATTATTCAAATGTTCGGTTATGATAATAATGATACATTTTCATTAATATGAGTTTCTCCACAGTGTCTGTCAGTTCACCATCTCCAGCGGAGATTAAATAGGGCATATCCTTTTTTAAAACAAATATATTCGCTGAACGTACTGAATTTATACTTACTGAATTATTTTTTACATATTATTATTCATGACAATATGTAATAGTATGATAATATTCTTGGGAAATAGTCATTCTTCGAAGTAAACCCACTCACATTTTGTGAAAAATTATGCATTTGCACTTCTTTTATATGATCTTCTGCCAACTTGACGTATTCAAATAACACTTGAGATTTTCAATTAACAGTTTACAAAACCGTGACACGGTTCACTATACAATAGCGACACGTGTGAAACACGTGTTCCGGTTTTATAGTCTGTTAAGTGAAAATCTCACAAAAACGTATTATTTGTATACGTCCTGGTGGATTGTCATCAATATCTACCAGTTCACAGGCAGTATGAGGCAGTATGAGTTACTGCCTGTCTACATTACATCAGTTTCTTCAGTGGTTTACTCGTCTTTCATTTATTTGGCTCTCGAAGGATGAAAGTTAACTTATTTATTCAACAAGTGGCCCTCAGTATTCTGATATGTGAAATATATGTGTCAAATGTGAGGAGAGATATCACCTGTGGAACCAGGGACGTATTCAGAATTTCTGCTTGAAGGAGATATTTTATCATAGTAGTTTTCACACTCTCCAAAAATGGTACCAATGGGCGATTATTGTTTCAGAAGAGAATCCACTTTTCATCACACGTGACGATCCGATTCAAAAAAAGATCGTTTTGGTTGCGCAAAAGCAAAGAAGAACAGACCTCAAAAATTTAAAACTTCTGTCGATCGTTCAAATCCCACTTCTTCCGTCATCCCACGTACCGTTTGTGATGGGTGAGTCTCCATCAGGGTCTCCAAATCCTTGTCCTGGATTACTGTAGGTCAAACACTTCAAAGTTCATCTTCAAGATTGAAATCTCCGAAACGAATATTTCGCCAACCAATGTCGAACAGTTCTGGAGTTTTCTCCCAACACCAAACCGTTATTTCAACACCTCGACACGTGTTTCTATCACCAAGTGATCATCTTCAAGAGGAAGATCAAACTGTTTGATTTTCCTCTTGAAGATGATCACTCGGTGATCAAAACACGTGTCAAGGTGTTGAAATAAAGGACAACCAGTGTATTTAAAGTATATCCAACTGATCCAGTTTCCATATTTTGANATTTTTGTTTATTCATTTGGGGAATATGTTGCTTCTGATTTAGCTGGAAATCGCTATTTTCAAAAGTAACATTGAAGGATTTGGGATCGAGATTATCATGAAGTCTTTGAGAAAAGTATATATAGAGAATTTCGGAGAAATCTATATTCTTATTATTTATTTTACAACAATCGTTTATGAAAAGCAGTTTATGGCATGATTTGTCTTTGATTTATCGATATTACTTCCATCAACTAAAAAAGTGTGTCATCGGTGTATTTTACAAAATTCTTACAAGAATGAATAACCAGCATGATAATATTTTGAATTTTCCTGTCACATGTTATGTCTGTTTGGTTGAAAAACGATCTCAGTCGTTATTAATATCCAACTGGAAAAAGCCGTACAAGAACTTTTGGCAAATTTGACTATGCAAATCATATTTCAGGACTATAAAAATCATGATAGAACAAAGCTGTAGTGTTGCCCTTTGGTTGTCATATCCTTTTTGACCCAATAAAAACCATTATTATTATTATACATTTTGAAGAGGTGTCAAA